CCCCATCATCGTCATGATCATAACCATAATCGTCGTGATCATCATCAGCGGCAACACCATCACCATCATGATCGGCATCATCAGCATGCTCGTGTACAGCATCAGCAGCATCATCATCACCCTCAGCATCATCATCGTCATCATCAGCATCATCATCATCAAGATCATCTATATCATCATCCTCATCATCCTCATCATCAGCATCGTCATTAGCAGCCGCAGCATCAGCAGTAGCAGCAGCGGAACCATCCCTGGCAGTCTGCCTGCCTCCCTCCCTTCATCTATCCCTCCCTGCATCTCTTTCTCTTACTCCTCTTGCTCCCTCTTGGGCAGAGGCCAAGGGGGGGAGGACCCTCCACCTTCTCTTCCTTATCCTCCTCCTCCTCCTCCTCCCTCTCCTTCTACTCTTCCTCCTCCTCCTCCTCCTCATGCTCCCCCTCGTTCTCTTCTTACCTCCTCCTCCTCCTCTTCCACCTTCTATTTCCTCCTCCTCCGCCTCCTCGTCGTTTTCTTATATCCTCGCTCCTTCTTCCTTACGGCACAGGTATGGTGCTTCACGAGCCGAGCGGAAGCGGTGAATCTATTATTGGAAGGCAACCCGCTGTTCTTGCTCAGCTGCATGCATCGTACCATATAACAGAAGTTTAAATGCACCCAGCACCCGATCCAAACTCGGCGTCTTGGCCAATAAGGAATACAGCAACGTACCGAAAAAGTTTGCCCCTCCTCAGCCGTGTTTCTCTGCCAGCACTGGCTGAACGCGAACGGAAGGCGAGTCCACCTGCAGCTTGCCCGTTTTCTACGGCCCGCGCGCCACAACGACCAAGACGCATTTCTGGTTCACTGCTTCTGGCCCTCACTGCGGCATGCAGATCCTCCTTCCCAAAATCTGCACCCACATCCAGCGCCGCACTCGTTGCCTGATCGGCGACGCAATTGCATGGGCAACCACCCTACTGAACTGCTCCGGTTGTTTACCCGCGGAAGGAAGCCCATGCACAACAACCTTTGCGAAGACTTGCGAGCCGAGACGAAGATATGTAGGGCGGAGATGGTGACAAACCATCTCCGGCAGGCACTCAGAGTGCGTCCAAACACTGGGCTATGTGTTCATATCCACAGCCCCGCCTGCAAGCATTCCAAGCGAACTGGTTCCCCCTAGCATCTGTTCCTAGGGGGACGAACAATGACATAAACATAAAAACTCGGAGGTCCGCGCGGACCTCCGAGTTGTTATGTTTATGTCATTTCTCGTTCCCCGAATTCCGCCTCTTCATAAACTTCTGCCGGAACACGAGCTGTGAGGAGGTCACTTACCCTCCTCCTCCTCCTCCTCCTCCTCCTTCTCCTCCTCCTCCTCCCCCTCCTCCTCCTCCCTCCTCCTCCTCCTCCTCCTCCTCCTCCTCCTCCTCCTCCTCCTCCTCCTCCTCCTCCTCCTCCCCCGCCTCCTCTTCCTCCTCCTCCTCCTCCTCCTCGTCCTTGTTCATGCCTCTCCTTCCTGGTCTGGAGAGCCTCGCTTCACCGTGCCGTGCTGCACGCCAACGCGTTCTGCCTCCTACGCTGCGCTGCAATATTCCGCCTGTGCGTTGTTCGAAGCGCCCTTTTGCCGCCTGCCTACTCATCCTCCTCTCGTCGTCTGGCTTGCAACATCATCATGACCACCACCATCACCATCCCCAATCACCGTCATCATTGCCACCACCACCATCATCACCATGGTCATCATCACCCCCATCACCACCATCATCTTGGTCGCCATCAACGCCGTCATCATCATGATCAGCATCACCACCACCACCACCACCACCACCACAGTCACCATCATCATTAACATCACCATCATCATCCGCATCCTCGCCCGCATCATCACCATCGCCATCAGCACCACCAGAATCGTCACCAGCATCATCATCAGCAACATAATTCTCAGCATCGTCATCACGATCATCACCACCATCACCATATTCGTCATCGATATCGCTACCATCATCATCACCATTATTATAATCATCATCACCAGCAACAACTTCATCATCGTCATCATCATCAGCACCACCACCATCATCATCATCATGAGCATCATCATCACCGCCATCATGATCACCGTCGTAAGCATTGTCGGCATCAGCATCAGCATGATCAACATCGTCATCGTCATCGTCATCATCAGCCCCATCATCATCATCATCATCATCATCATCATCATCAGCATCATCATCAGCGTCATCCTCATCAGCAGCATCAGCAACATCCTCCTCCTCCTCCTCCTCCTCCCCCTCCTCCTCCTCCTCCTCCTCCTCCTCCTCCTCCTGCTCATCCTCTTCCTCCTCCCCCTCCTCCTCCTCCTCCTCCTCCTCCTCCTCCTTCTCCGTCTTCCTCCTCCTGCTCCATGTTCCTGCTCCTCCTCCTCCATCTTCCTCCTCCTCCTCCTTCTCCATGTTCCTGCCTCCTCCTCCTCCGCCCCCTCCTCCTCCTCCTCCTCCTCCTCCTCCTCCTCCTCCTCCTCCTCGTAGATGGACAAAAAAGTGGAACCCTTGACACCACGCCTCTCCCTCCCCCCAATTTCAAAGTTGGCCTCAAGCATCTGGCAGCACAGGCGTGAGAGGACAAAAAAGTGGAACCCCCAGGGCCTCCGAGAAGCCGAACCAAGCTTTGAAGTTAGGGGAGGGGGGTGGGGTGGGGTGGGGGGGGGGGGGGGGCGAATGCGGGGCCGAAGACGAAAAGGGATCCACTTTTTTGTCCCTTACCGTCGCCCTCCCTGCCCTTCTCCATCCTCCTCCTCCTCCTCCTCCTCCTCCTCCTCCTCCTCCTCCTCCTCCTCCTCCTCCTCCTCCTCCTCCTCCCTCCTCCGCCCCCTCCTCCTCCTCCTCCTCCTCACTCCTCCTCACTCCCCTCCTCCCTCCTCCTCCTCTCTCCTCCTCCTCCTCCTCCTCCTCCTCCTCCTCCTCCTCCTCCTCCTCCGTCCCCCTCCCTGCCCTTCTCCATCCCCGTCCTCCGCCCGCGCCCCCCCCGCCCATCCTGGCGTGCGGGGTGGGCGCGCGGACCGCACCCGAGCGCGGAGAGCACGCTGGACGCCTGAGGTGCAGGGTGCGGGCGGGGGGCGGAGTGCAGAGCGGGAGGAGGACGGAGGACGGAGGAGGAGGACGGAGGAGGAGGACGGAGGAGGAGGACGGAGGGCGGAGGAGGAGGAGAAAGACGGAGGAGGAGGAGCAGGAACATCGAGAAGGAGGAGGAGGAGGAGCAGGAAGACGGAGGAGGAGGAGCAGGAACATAGAGGAGGAGAAGGAGGAGGAGGAGGATAACGAAGGAGGAAGACGGATGAGGAGGAGGAGGAGGAGGAGGAGGAGGAGGAGGAGGAGGATAAGGACGAGGAGGAGGAGGAGGCGGAGGAGGACATGTGGAAACCAAAGAGCCATCAGCGATGCTGGAATCAACCCTGGCTCCAAGCTCCCTCTTCAGAGGCCCCATAAACGGCTCATTTTCACGGAAGGGAGCTGCCCCGTTGGAAGACATCCGCTCGAAAACCCTGAAGCATGCCAAAACATGATTCTCGGGACTCCAACGCCACGGATCTACCTGACTGTTGCGTCTTAACGATCCGGAATCGTGCCAGAACGCCGTTCCTGGGACTTCAGCACCGCGAATCAACGTAACCTTTTCCAAAACACTATTTCAAGTCTGGTACGTTCAGCATGGGTACCAGTGAAACTCATACAACGAGTAAAAGCACACGTGCGCGGCGCTGAAGGTGAGAGCCACATGTTGAAGACGGCCCACCCTCAGTCCGTGAAACTCTTGCAATTGCTTAAAACGATTGTGCGCGGCGCTAAAGCGAGAGCCACATTTTGAAAAAAACACCCGCCCTCAATCCGAGAAGGCCATGCATCTTTTTACCAAAAAAAGCAACCACAACAAATGTGCGTGGCGCTAAGGCGAGAACCACATGTTGAAAACGTCCCGCCCTTACTCCGCGAACGTCTTGGATTTATTGTTTTAATGCGCGCGGCGCTCAGGCGAGAACCACATGCTGAAAACCACTCGCCCTCCATATGTGAAACAAGTGACAGCTTGCTTAAGCTTCAGGGTCAGCAATGGTGAGGAAGTCTCAGGCGAAACGCCCGGCCCGCCCTAAAAACCGGCCTCGGGGTGCGACAGGGAGAAGCTATTTACAATGAAAAAGAATGGAGGAGGAGAAGGAGGAGGAGAAAGAGGAGGATGATGATGAGGAGGAGGAGGAGTCATGCATTGCAGACGCACTGTCAACACACATCCCGTGACGGGGTGGTTTGCGGAGCTTTGCATGAACCCGATCAGCATCACGCAATCGCGTGCGAGAGGGGGCCCACGCGCACTGCGCGGCACAACCGGGTCCGCGATTTGTTAGCGCGTTGGCTTGCCAAGAGGGTCTCGGGCCTGGTGCAGACCGAACAGACAGTGCCGCAGTGGACGCGGCGGCGCTGGGATCCAGAGACTGGCCAAGATCGGATGGAGCTGGCGGTGCTGGACGTTAAATGGTCCGAGAAGGGCGTGTGCCACGTGGTGGACGTGGTGGTCACTAGCCCAGACAGCGCTGACGAGCGCGAGGAGAGGGCCAGGGCGGCCCACGCGGGCCTTGCTGCCGAGGACGCCGCGCGGGGGAAGCAGCTACGCTACCCGCCTGGCCCAACGACGCCAGCCCTGACGCCTTTCGCCGTCGAGACAGGCGGGCGGGTCGGCCAGGCGGCCAGACAGCTCGTGCTCGACCAGCTGGACCACGCCGAAGGTGAGGCAGGGGCGAGCGCAGACGCTACTGCCTTTTGGCAGGAGCTCTCGGCCACGCTGCAGACTGCAGTGGCCGAGCAGATCCTCGCCGCTCATAGGCCGCCGGCCCCAGCCGGAAGACGCTGAGCTGGGCGAGGTGTGGGTGTTGGTGGTGGTGGGTGAGGTGGTGCTTGAGGTGGAGGTAGAGGAGGTGGAGGAGGAGGAGGAGGCGGAGGAGGCCGCGGTCGCATCCAGCTTGCGGGCAGAGGGCGCTGCTGAGGTGCTTGGCGCCCGGAGGACGAGGGCCGTCGCGCCCGGGGGCTTGCCGGAGGAGGAGGAGGAGGCAGAAGGAGGAGGAGGCGGAGGAGGAGGACGAGGTCGACAAGCGGGCCCCGGAACGCCCTGAGGCCAGCATGAGCAGTTGGCGCCGTGGCGCCCGGAGACAGGAGGAGGGGGTAGAGGCGGCGGAAACGGAAGAGAGAGAGGAGAAGTGGCCGAGGCACGGAGGAGCACGTAGAGGCTGAGGAGGAGGAGGAGGATGAGGCGGAGGCAGAAACAACAACCACGTTGAGACTGATGAGGAGGAACAGGTGGAGGAGGAGACGGCAGCCACACCAACGCCACGACACGATGACCGCCCCCCGCCCCCCGCCCCCTCCTTCCCCCTCCCGGGCCGCCCTCGCAGGTGTGTTACTTTCGTTTTTGTTCACTTCCCCCACGGCCTGGGTCAGGGGCCGTTGCCCGCAGGCCGAGGGGGTGTATAGTGATGCTGGGACTGGACGGCGCCCTCACACGCCTGACCCCGGTGGCCACCCATCCTAAAGAGGGATGGGTGCCGGGGTCGCGGTTGGAGGAGAAGGATGAGGACGAGGAGGAGGAGGCGGAGAAGGAGGAGGAGGACGGAGGAGGAGGAGGAGGAGGAGGAGGAGGAGGAAGACGGAGGAGGACAGAGGAGGACGAGGACGAGGACGGAGAAGGAGAAGGACGAGGAGGAGGAGGAGAAGGAGGAGTAGGAGGACGGAGAAGGACGGAGGAAGACGGAGGAAGAGGAGGACGGAGGAGGACGAGGACGAAGAAGGAGGGAGGAGGAAGACGGAGGAGGACAGAGGAGGACGAGGACGAGGACGGACGAGGAAGAGGAGGAATAGGATGAGGATGATGAGGTGGAGGAGGACGGAGGAGGACGAGGACGGAGGAGGAGGGAGGAGGAAGACGGAGGAGGAGGATAACGAGGACGAGGACGGAGGAGGAAGAGGAGCAGGAAGAGGTTGAGGAGGAGGAAGAAGATGACGGAGGAGGACGGAGGACGAGGACGGAGGAGGGAGGAGGAAGACGGAGGAGGAGAAGGAGGAGGAGGACGGAGGAGGACGAGGACGGAGGAGGAGGAGGACGAAGACAGAGGAGGAATCGACCGTGGCGAGGTTTTGCCTGGCGGGCAATGCGTGCTGTGCTGAGCTCGGCTTGCGCGGCCTCCTGCCTTGAGGCCGCATGCGCACAGTATGCACTCATCGCCTCGCCGGAATGGTGCGCGGGGAGGGGGACTGTGGCGGACTTGGAGGGCCTGACGGGAGGAAAGGAGGCGAGGAGACAGCGGAGACGGTTGGAGCCGACCGCCCAATTGAACATCTCGGGAGCGCCCCTGTCGTCCCCGCGACTCGCGCCGGAAGCATCCAATGCATTCCCGAAGCGATTCGAATGCGAGAGCACCTGGCGGCATCGGCCGATCGTCCGTGAGCGACTGTCCGTTCCGACGGGCTCGCGGCTCCCTTTCAAACGCCGTGGCCGAGCCTCGCACGACGCCTTCCGAGCAAGCCCTCGCGAAGGAAACGACATTCTCACGAGGATAGCGGCCACAGGCGCTGCAGAACACAGAATGGTGCACAGTCCACAGCCTGTGCCGTCTCCCCACGCCCTCGCGCTTGGCAGGAAGGCCAGATAGAAGGAGGCCGCTGCGCATGCGCTGCATGCAGCGGTGCCGCCCCTGCAACTTTGCAAGGCCGTGGCAGCCGTCCCCAGGGCGCTGCGCCCAGGTGCAGGAAGACCCCTCTCTCCTTCAGGACACGATTGCAATCCGATTGCCCTCCCGCTGGGAAAAGAGCCAGGCGTGAAAGAATCTCCCAATCTACAGTACAAGTCGGTGAGCACCGATGGCCCTCCGCTCGGCCTCCAGGTTCTTGGGTGGAGGGCGGCCCATGCTTGGGCCGCGGTGCCGTCGACCGCAGAGAAGGATGGGGAGGAGGAGGAGGAGGAGGAGGAGGAGGAGGAGGAGGAGGAGGAAGAGGAAGAGGATGAGGATGAGGATGAGGATGAGGATGATGAGATGAGGATGAGGATGAGGATGAGGATGATGATGATGATGATGATGATGAGGAGGAGGAGGAGGAGGAGGAGGAGGAGGAGGAGGAGGAGGAGGAGGAGGATGAGGAGGACGAGAGGAGGGAGAGGAGGAGGAGGAGGAGGAGGAGGAGGAGGAGGGAGGAGGGGGAAGGGGGAGGAGGAGGAGGAGGAGGAGGAGGAGGGGGAGGAGGAGGAGGAGGAGGAGGAGGAGGAGCAGGAGGAGGAGGAGGAGGAGGAGGAGGAGGAGGAGGAGGAGGAGGAGGAGGAGGAGGAGGAGGAGGAGGAGGAGGATGAGGAGGAGGAGGAGGAGTTGCAGGAGGAGGAGGAGGAGAGGGGGGAGGGGGAGGAGGAGGAGCAGGAGGAGGAGGAGGCAGAGGAGGAGGAGGAGGAGGAGGAGGAGGAGGAGGAGGAGGAGGAGGCAAAGGAAGTGGTGGTGGTACTCGGCTCTTGGTCTGTCTGCTTTGCGCGATGCTGCTCTTTGACCTCCGTGCCGTAAAAGTGGGGGCAACAACTCAAGCGTGTATGTATCCCCCCCCATACCCACGACTGGCTATCCAATATGGGGACACCTAGGAAAACATACGATAATGTCAAGGTCGAGATGCCCGACGAAATCACCCATGAGCAAATCAGCGCGCGACTACACTAGGTCCAGGGCGGGCGAAACGACGGGCGTCTCAGCTCACACATGAAGGAGAGTTGGGCGTCGCTTCATGGGGTGGCAATACATGGGGGGGCAAGAAAGGTGCACTTCTCGGGCCCTAAATCCCCTCTTGGGCCCTAAAAGGCCCATGTAGGGCCCCATAGAGCTCCTTTTCTGCAGCCCGCTGCCCCCCCCATTGATCGCCCCCCATCACGCGACGCCCGAAGGGGTTGGGGGGGCTGTACGCCACCTGGGGCCGAGCTCCTGCGCATGCCGCCGAGGCGACATGCACGACCATGGTTCACTCTCCTGGCCCCAGTCGGGGCCAGCGCAGAGGCAGGGTGGAGCGAGGAGG